ATTAGTTAAATTAGTTTAAAAATTATTTAAATTACTTCTGTTACAATTCTATTAATTATTTCTTTCAAATTATTTCTGTTTGTGCTCTGATGAATTTTTTCTCTCAGCATGACAGTCATTTTTTTTTTAAATTTAAGATATAAATTAATGAAATTTTTCTTTTTAAATATCGTTTAGCGAAATGAGAAAAAAAAGACAATTTTCTTGGACATACCATTTTAATTATTTTGTTTAATGTGCTTACAATGTTACTGTGTAATAATATTTTCAAACTAAAATAAAGATGCTTCAAATCTTTAGTTATTAAAATGTTTTCCCTTAAACCACATAGATAATGTGATACCGTTTTTATTGAATGCTGTGTTGTAAATTTTTACGAGCATCTTTCAATTTTTCAGTAATTGTTTCTTGTCAAACTTTTATGAACCAATTTAAATTTATAATACCTTCTCTATTAATACCTATTGAATACATAATGATCGATAATTTAGCTTTGTTTAGAAAAAAAATTTTTAGAGATTTTATTTATGCTTGAAAAATTTCTGGTAGTTGAAATAAAACTTACAATCTATCTATTAGATAAATTTAACATCCGATTCAGTTAATCGGAATTTAAGTTCATTAAATAACTATTCGGAACGTAAGTGGATATTCTTTTAGAAAAATTATGCGCAAAGTTTAATTTGAAATTGAATAAAGGAAACTTTTAATATTTTATGCATTTTAATGGGGCATACAATTATATAATATACAGTCAAACCTCGCTATAATGAACATGGTTTATAGTGAACACCCGGATATAGTAAACGAAATGTTCGCTCCCGTGCCTTGCTATACACATATATTATTTTTTGTGGATATAATGAACCAAAAGAAGAGAGGAAATTGGTTACTATGAACTTTTTTCGGTCTTCAACTGATTTTTTTTTTCTTTATTTTCACATTCCATCTTTTGAGTGGAATATAGCCATAAGCATTTTTTGTTTGTTTGCTTTTTCTATCTCAGTTTCCGATCCCTAAATATTTTGTACACAAAACGAAGAGTAATAAAAAATTAAAGTTAACACATTTTTTGTTAGTACATATTGTTTAGTTATTTTTGTATTTCTTTTTATTGATCATTTATTTAAACAATGTGTAATAAAAGGGAGCAGTTCGGAAAAATTAGTTCAAAATTGGTTGCAATACGGATATAGTGAACTCCCGGTTATAGTGAACAGAAATTTCGGTCCCTTGAAAGTTCACTATAACGAGGTTTGAAGGTTCATTATAACGGGGTATATAAGTATTGTCATAAATAATGCATCAATTAAAAATAGTCACTCAAGGGCAAATCTTTTGTTAATTTAAAAATATTTACAAAAGCAATAAATATTTAAATTTAAAATTTTTTTTAAATACACTAGTTGCTTGTACACTACCTGCACATGTGCATTAAAGAGTTAAATCAAGTGAATAAATGGCTCTGTCACAAAACATTCATATTTTGCGAAAAAAAACTAGTGTGAATGACCTGTCCATAATAGGAACCCTAATACCCCACGCTTCTCCCACTCTTAATCGGAAAACAGTGCTTTTTTTTCTTCCTCCTATTAAGGCTTCAAATACGCCTTCAAAATAAATTATTTACAAATATTCAGTGAAAATGGACAATTTTGATGAATTTACTGATAAATTTTAATATAAAAGTGTATCTTTCTTGCGTGTAACCTTAACTTATTTCTACTATAATTTTAATTTAATAAAAATAGTATAATAAAAAATTAATATTTTACTGAAATTTTAACAACATATTCAAATAAAAGTAGATTTCATTTTTTTTCTGTACATATTATACATATTAATTATAACCCTTTGCACTCAATTGTTCTAGATAGAAAATAATCACCATTTTAAATATATAAAATTGCTCGTTGTAATTCATTATTGGCTCTGACTTGTAAAAAGTTTTGTTCTCTTGATTGCAGATCAATTTCATGTAAGATATTTTCATTCAAGATATTTTTAGAATTAAAATTCGTGTTTTGAAGTTTGGTGAAAAATTTTTCATACAATGATACTAAATTTATAAATTTATTTACGACCGCAAAACTGTTTTTAAGTATATTGTTTGTGTAATTGCATTGAATTGAAATGTTTTTTTTTGTAACTTTACAAAACAAAAAAGTGGTATAATTTTTTTATAAAAATTTAAAATTGGACATTTTGAAAGAAAAGCTCTAGAACAAACCTATGTACAAGAAGACCAAATGATCTATATATGTAGAATTTTAGATGAGGATGCAAACTTTTGTTCTAACGCTAAAAAAAATATTTAATTTCAACCATTGCTGGGTGTTTTTCATATTTTACCTATTAATAACTTTTTTTAATGACGAACCGTTTTTCTTCGATAAATACATTACTTGACAAGAAAATTTTTTTACACATATTTTACAAGAATTATTTTTAATCATTTGTTTCTTTTATATAGTATGAAATCTTCGATTGATGTTTGTTTACTTAGATACAACAAATAGTTTATTAAATAAAAATATCTTTTTCTTTTGGAATTTCGAATAATTTTATATTTTTTTCATTTGATACCTAAATTACGATTTTTCCTTTCTTTTTAAAATTAAAACAAAATAAATTATGTTTTTTTTCTAATTTATTTCGCATTATTTAGTGTACATTATGTGTTTTTATATTCAAAAACAATGAGTCGAGTAAGCGTTTTCAAAGCACCGTAAAATTAGTAAATTATCAAGTAGAAGTGAATTTGATCATATTTATATGTACTAATGATATCGCATTTATCAACGCATAATAAAATGAAAAAGCTATTTTCGCTGAATTTTGGGAAAAGATATTTGGACATTTCTTTAAATGTTAAAAACCAAAAAGTCTTTTCGAAGTAATGACTCTATCAAATAATTAAAAAGTTAATATTTTGATTTATTATTAATTTTTAAAAAATTTCTCACATTGCAATTAATACGTCTTATAGTTAATAAAGTGCTCTTCAAACTCTTATTCATAATTATTTTAAGATTAATTCTTATGAAGATTCATAATTATAAGTTTGGTTGCTGACAATCGTAAAAACAATGTCATTACAAATTTAGTTTTAACTTATGTCGTCTTGGCCACTTGAAACTCTATCCAGGTAAGAAAAATAGACCTTTTATGCAAATTTTTGCATTAGATATCATTTGCTCAATAGACATGACCTAGTAGGGTGTACTTAAAAGTCAAAACATCATTTTAAAACGAATAATTATTTTTAAAAAAACTTCTAGAGTAAAAAAATTATGCAAAAATTTGCATAACAGAGTCTATGTGTGATTAAATTTTTAATTAATATCATTTAACATGTTATGATTTTTTCTCTTATTAAAATTATTGTTCTATTGCGTGTGGATTAAATAAATATGGATGGCGCATTTCGGTAAGTCTATTTATTTTCTTTTGTTCATAATGTTTAATTATTTAAAGTTTATTCTTTTAATTTATCTTTCGTAATTTTAGACTTTTATTTGTGGCATTAACACAATTGTAATAAATGTTAACGCATTGAAATGATTAATATATTTTTGATTAACGATTACTTTAAATTAATTAAAAAGCTTTTACACTTAAAGCATTTTTCTAAGTTTACATAATTTCATTATTAAGCTGTAATTGTTGTAACTTTAAAATGTATCACAAAATTTAATTTTGTGTTTTGAGTTTTGTTACCGAAATAAAATTAAATTCAACAGCTTTGAAAACGATACTTTTGTGCTGATATTGTAATTACATATTTTGGTTTTTTTCCGTAAATATTTAATTCGAATTTTTTTTAAAAAAGAAACAGTGGTCCAAATTATCCTAAAATGTATGATGGTTTTCTTAGAATACAAGAAAAATATTTAGTTTAAAAGTCTGACTATAACACGGAACTTAACTTTAGTTTTGTTAACTAAAACTTTTAACAGTATGTTAGTGCACACTAATTAATGTTTTAAAAAAATTTATGACTTTATCCCTTTATAATTTCTATGTACTTCAAAATCTATTCCCAAGATGTTTTCCAGAATTAAAAAGGTACTTTATTAAAATGTGAGTATTTTCATTTCTCAAAATCGCTTTTATACAGGTAGGTCTGTATGCATTTTGTTATCAAAATTCTCTCGATAGTTAACTTTACTTGATTAAAATCAGTCTACATGGTTATTTTTATCTTTTGGTATTTTTGTTGGCTTATAAAGATATCTTTGTCTTTGATCGGGAAATGGACATTGAGATCGCCAACCATATTCAATGAAAGAAACCACTGGAACTTAGTGTCCACAGTTTTATCTACAAAGAAATCTGCGGTTCCCAGTTGGCTTCAGGGTCAAATTAAGTGAACCGCTTCAAGTTAGCTTAGAATGGTGTGTCGTTGGCCCGAGAAGGACAATAGCAAACTTCCCTATAGCTGTACAACAAAATGACTTTAAACTAATGGAAATTTTTATTAGAACCCTATGAGTTATAGCTGAATTTGTCGCTGCGATCAGTTTTGCTTTCATTTCATAGGTTCTATTCTTTATGAAAAAAATGAATGCTAAACGAAGTTTATCGAATTTAGTATATACACGAGGCATATTGATGCAGATTTCAATTACGATTTATTTATTTGCTATGAAGGGTAGAGGCTTTTATGTTGACCTCAGAAATGTGGATATTTAGTATAACGAAAAAATCTTCTTAAAATTTAAAGCCAATAAGTCTTTAACGTGAATAATTCAATTTATAAAAAATTCTTTATTACCCTAATTTCATATTTTTAATGAAATTGTTTCCGATATTGGAAAAACAATTATCACAATCAACGGGGAATTTTATTGTATGTGAGATTCGAAATGTTTATAAACACTGAAATAATTAGGTTTTAAGAAATATAACTGCACATTCCGCCCTATTTACAATTAAAAAAAATTAAAAATACATATTTGATACTAGGTAAAAATAAATTGATAGAATTCTATATATTTAAATAACATATTTTGTTAAAAAATTTCAGTATTGGTATTAGTTTTTGTATTAAATTTTTAAATAATCATCACTTAAAATCTGGGAATATTAAAATGAGTCGTGAAGAGTATATTGGAAACATGTAACAAAATATATTTTAATCATAGGTTTAATTGCAACGAAGTTCATTGAGTAGTATGATTGAGAAATAATTTTAAAAATTAAAATGCAGTCTCGTTTTAATGTTTTGTAAGTTAAATATTTTTTATTAAAAAATTTGGGCTAAAAAGAATCGAGATATTCGTAACATTTTCATATTTTGTTCTTATTGAAAACTAATACTAGTACAAAAAAGAAAAACACAATAATGTACATTTTCCCAAAATCTATCATTTAAAATTCGCAAGCTTTATTGTTTAAAATATTTTAACAGATGCTCGACTGTTTTATTCTTATCTGATGTAACATCAACGGTGTAACACATGCTACGCAAAAAAAGTCATCTACACATAACCCATTTTGCTTTGTTTATTTAATTTATTATTTATGTAATAATCAATAATCGTTTACTATAGAACTTAGCAGCGATTTTTATAAAGTATTATTTTTCTCTTGCTTCGTGATTTTACGACATGTTCTTAGAATACAGAATTTCATGAAGAAATTGGTAATCAACTGTAGAAGATTCTTCGCGGATCGAAGAATTAGGAAAGAAATTCAAGGTAAATATTACTTAATATTATATTTAAATGGAAGTATGATTTTAATTACTTTAGCCTGTTTATCACAACTGTTAATTAAATTCCTATTTAAAACTCTTTGATCATAATTATGCTTCCATATTTCTTAATTTTTGTATAACTCTTTTTGCCTGTGCATCAAACAGTAAGTGATATTGTACCTTTTAGATTCCATACTAAGCACTTACTATACATCTGAATAATTATATTTCTAACTATACATTTTAATAGCCCCACAACTTTTCATGCTAAATTTTAATAAAATGCTCAAATTAACCCCAAATTAAAATTTTTAAAGTTTAATAATCTGTGCTTTTTTTACAAATTTTAATATTTTATAAGAAAATGAACTATATTTTTACTAAATTATAAAGTTAAATTATATTTTATATTTTCTTTAAATGTTTCTCATTTAAATCATCTAAAGGCATCAATATGGCATTCTATTAAATCGTTTATAAAATGCTATTTATTGCTAATAATCTTACTGAACACGCCATTTAGGAAACTTTTTTTTTTAAAAATGGTGAACATTTCTTTATAAAACACTAGAAATTTAATTGCTCTAACTTTAATTTTTAATTTTTTCTATCATCTAGATTTACATTTTCCTTTAAATGCCATATCGTTACGAATGCATTAAAATTCATTTATTTTTCTTAGTATTTCAACCACTATTTTCTCTCTTACATTATATTTATTTTACATTCGTTGAGTTGTTAAATAAAATAGCGATTTTTTTTCAGTGAAAAAAAGTAATTTTATTAAATTTAATTTAAATAGCTTTGCAAAAATTGTCACCCGCTTAAAGAGTTGATATTGCAGTCTTGCTTTTTTTCGATGTTTCGTTAGATCCGTTAATAAGTTTCATTCTCAGTCTGTTTTATTTTTTATCAATTTAAATTTGAACTAAAAGGTGATGCATGCAAATATAACAGTCATCGATAATTTTGTGTATCGAATCCTAAATAGATTGATATGTTCCAAAAAATGTATTTCTTTCTAGAGCTATTTGCAAGTACTTTTTACCGTAAAAATTCCGCCTCAATAAATGTTTGTATTGTAGAAAAATATACTCTTTCTCGAATATGAGATAAATTTTTCATTAAAAATTGTTTATTAAAGAATAATATTAGGATTAGAATAGTAGAGTAGATGACATAAAATATAATCTGTTAGGTTTCTAAATTTTCATTTTTTTTTCTTTTCGAGTAGTATGTAGAATCAGTTACTTAAAAACTCAATTATTCAAATATTATTAATATACTCAATTATTCTTGTACTCATTATCTCTTGCAAATGTTGCCTTTTGACCAAAACTCATTCAAAGTTGTGTATACAGAATTTTTCCGAGGCTGTAACTTTTGTTGATTAAATAAGCGAAATAAAAAAAAGTATTAATACACTTTTCTTGAAATTATTTGTAAATAAGATATTTTTCCCTTAATTATGGACAGAAATATTTAAATACTTAAGATTTTAGCTTTATTCTATGTTGCGTAGTATTGAAAACACTTGTTCTTTAATATTTCATGTCTCTTTAATATTTCTTTCTTAAATATTTCAATTAAGGTTTTAATTGCGAAATCTCGATATATTTTTTAGGACTCTATAATTTATTTCGTTAATAACGCTGTCTATAATTATTAGATTACAAAAATATGTTTCACAAATTTTTTTATATAACACTTAATGCGAAGAAAATTTCTTTGTTGATTTCCGAAAGAGTTTTTACTCAGTTATCAATGAACCTTCTTTCGTAAAACAATAGGTAATTTACTACTGAATTTCATATGTTAACGCAATTGAGAAATTTCTTCGTCTGTAAACAATTTCCGAAGGAGTTTTCACTTAGTTATCAATGAATTTTCCTTTAGAACAACAATAATTAATTTGAATTTTATATGTTAACACAGTTTAATAGACTTTCAAAATACTTATTGCAAATAATCAAAATTAATCAAATTTAATTGTTTAAGTCATTTGCTTTGATTACATGTAATGCTCAATGAATGTTCTAATCTATTCTCTTATCCCTTACAGGTTAATTAACTAAGACACTCTGAATTGAACTGAAAAACTTTTTCTCAATGAAAGTTTTAAAAGCTGGAAAAAATTTAAAGGAATGTAAGTACGAGAATTCTCTTAACAAAAGTGTAAAGAAGAGGAGATAAAGTGAATCCAACAAATGCCGTAAGAATTGATGGAGAAAATCAAATATCTCTTCTGAAGAAAATGTTTGATAGAAATGAAGATGAAAAAAAATATTGAAGATGGAGATTTTTGAAAATTAAGGAAGATAAAGAAAAATTACTTTTGCTGTTTAAAGCTGTGAGACACTGCTATCAAATCCTTAATTTCAACCTAAACCTTCTGTATTAAGCTACAAGATATAGAGCCGCTAGAAAAGAATCAGTGTTTTCATCACTTAAAAAAATTATGAATTTGTATATGATAAATTTTTATACTCAGTAAAATCGGCTAAAGGTTGAAGCGGTTTGCGTTCTAGTTAAACTATGGTAAAGTGAAATCAAGTTTAAGATATATAGTTAAATTTGACGCCATATTGAAGTTGTTTCAGCGATCTTACACTTCAACGAGCTATAGATTCCCATCTTTTCATGAAAATTCAACTTTCCTGCAACTAACATTAATCTAACTTTAGTTCGCAAAATAGCTTGAAGTAAATTCTAGAATAAAGCTTTTTGAATTTTTTTCCGACGGATTAACACACACACATATATATTTTTATATAAAATTCTGATTTTTTGTGTGTTTCTTCTGTATTGATTAAAGACAGACCAAACATAGTAAACAGCATGAAAATATAACATTTTCTATCGACTGTAAAAGAAAACAAGCACATATAAGCTGAATTAAATAATTTTAGTCATCCTTTCACACCACAATTTAACAACAATAGCAGAGATGCCAACTTGCTCCGGACAGTAAATATATATTTTAAAGTGGTAGTTTATCAATTATGATTCTTGATTTAATAAATTCATTTTTGTAAATTTTCATTCACCACAATTTCTAAATAGTTCGTAGACTTATATATATAATTCACAACTTTACAGTACTTATGTCATGCTATACCTCTTAAAAAGCAAGTAAAAATAGTCAAATATTTGCAAAATTTATTTAGCAATTATTTACCGCTTCTTTAATTTGGCGCGTCCGGAGCAGTTGGCATCTCTGCAATAGTAAATAATATGAAAAATCTCAAGAAAAATATATTTATTTCCTTATTCTTCATATGCGTATCAAACTGCTTTTTTGAAATTCTGATAGTGAATGCGAGATCATTTTAAACTGAATTTTTCTATTTTTGAGAAAAACCACATGAAAATATCAAACCATCTAACACTGGGCAATATTCTATAATTTCAGCCTGCCGTATCGTGTCTCTACAATCTCTGTGTTTCATGTATGATTAAAATAAACGCATGTGTTTTATTTTAGAAGCTATTCTTTGTATGATGGAAATAAAAATATTTTTTTCTCAAAAAATGTCTCGAAATTTTTGACTTGTTTAAAGTATAACATTTCTAAGTTACGTGTGACTACTTTTTAACGGAGCCTAGGATTCTCTTGAGGAACAATCCAAATGCAATTTTTAAAAATTATTCATTTATGAAGTCAAAGACGCATTATTTATTAAATAACATATGTTGCATTCTACGGGCGTAGAATCACTTGTTATTAAAAAAATTTAAAGAAAAAGTGTTGGACACAATTTTAAAAATGGCCATCAGAGAAAAGAGTTCTCCAGTATATATAATTCAGAACTGATTTGTTAAAAGTTATCTCCTTTGAAAGAAGACTTTTATTTATCTAAGAGATCAATGGAATAAAAATCATTAAATGCATTTTTTAATTATTTAAAAATATTTTTATCAAGCTTTGCTAGTTTTCAATGAAATTTTACTGTTTCAGCTACCTCCTCTTAATCTGATTTTTATAACATCTAATTTAAAAACTAAAATATTCATGAAATCTTGAAATAATAGTTTTAACCTATAAAAATTATTTTTTTACCTAAATGTATGTTAATTTATTTGTATGTAAATTAACAATAATTTCATTCCCAACCTTTTATGTCTCCCCGCCCATTTTGCAAGAAATACTTTACACTCCCTTAATTCATTTTTTTAAGCGTTTATTAAACAATTTTTCTCGAGAATAACATTTTTACTTTCTTTATTTTTCGATATTATACACTTTTAAGAGAATTAAATCATTAATAATTCCTACTAACCAATGATTTTTATAATTAAACTTTTTTTAAAACTTTTTTATGAAAGTAGCCTTTATGTAAAAAAGAATTATTCACTGCGGAGCTCTGAGTAGAGCGTAAACTCACTTCTAACTATTGTAACGTTATGCTAATGATAAAAATAAAAAAAAATATCGAAATAATTTGTAAAAAATTCAAAAAGAATAGTCTGAGCAAAAAATAAATAAATAAGTAAAAGTCACCTCAAACTTCCAAATGTAAAAAGAATTTGTAGAACAGAAGGCAAGGTATTATTTCCAAAATAAACTTTGTTTATAATATTTTCCACAATAAATTGCGGAATTAGTAACTGCTTTTAATAACCAGCAATTTATGCAGTGTTAAATATTTTTCAATACAAAATAAAATTATTAGTTTCAAAGTGTACTCGCTATTTCAAAATTTTCTTCTGTATATAAGTTTTTACTCATTCTTTAAGAAGTCCCAACGACTCTTAGAAGTCTTAAACACCCACTATGGAATGGTAGCGCTTACGCTGGGAAACTATGATTTTATGTATCAAACACTAAATCAGGGGTCTGGGCCTTTAAAACCCCATATTTCGCTTTATTCTGTAACAATCCATAATAATCAAGTATACTACTGTTAGAAAGTTCTCGGAAAATGGTTAAATAACATTTTATTTAATTGTTATTTTTCCCTATTCGAACAAAACAGTCAAATAACCATAAAGATGGTATTCAAACTGTTCACTCTGAGAAAAACCGTTTATTAACTACTTTCACCTAATACAGTTAAACAACCAGAATTTTATCGCACCAACTAAACCCACCTAATGAAACCGCCTAGTTCCTTGCAGCGGTGCAGATGTTATAGCCGAGAGGTCTAATCTGTCAGTTTCATGGCCGACAGAACGGGAGTTCGAGTTCCAATGTTCACACTAAAATATTTCCTCCATTCCCTTCAACACATGGTTTCCAGAGTCCTGCACTCCCCAGTTAGTGTCTTGCACTTTCAATTGCTTAATACCTTACGAAAAGCAAAGCTCCAATGTCCAGTTAAATTCTTTTTTACGGTTTTGAAACCATGCTAGTTGCAAATGGCTAAAAAACCGTATTTTTGTATCCATGGTTTTATAATCATACTAGTTGTAAACTGTTTCAAAACCGTAAAGGTAAACAATGTTCACTTTACGGTTAATGCGGGGGGCTATAATGCCGTTTAATTATGAACGGCAAGCAATATTTTTGCCATATTGCTATTACTAAGTGCTGTTATGCTATTACTAAGTGCAAATGAGAGCTGCGATGGTTCCGTGATTAAAGCACTGGGCCATCCTGAAGAACTGGAGTTCGATCCCTGTCGATGGCTTGAAGCCCAACCAGCTTTTAAATCGATGGGTACCAACTTGTCTTGGATGTAAAGGTGGTCGGAGCGCAATGCTGATCACGTAACCATCATCATGCCCTTGATCTCGGAATAGTAAAATCTCAACCTGTATGACCCCCTGGACTGCTACAGAAATGCTTTAAGTACTAATGAATTGCTCCTTTTACATTTTTTTTCTTTCAAAATCCGTAGACTGGCGTATTTTTGCCTTCATATATTCATATTTTGGGGTATTTCTTGTTGAAAATAAAAGGGGTGACTGAGAAGTAATTCGGAATCGAATGTACTATGTTCATTACCAATATTTTTTTGTTTATTCTTGTATTTTGCGTATTCTTTAAAATAAATCTCTAAGAAATATCGATAGTATTATTTTCATTAAGCTTAAAAAATATTTTTAAATAGAAAAATACGTGTGTAGATTTAGCTTACTCTTTCAACTAAACTGATTTTGCTAGACTGTATATTCCGGATTTGCTTATTTCGCTGCCAATCCTTTTTCTGAATTGTTCTGTAAGAAACATAATTTTTTTTTCATTTTTTAAATTTTATCACAAAAGATCTCTAATATATTTGTATCATATTTTATCTCTTTAGAATAGAAGTTCTGTGCTTTTGCAGCTATATTTCTCTCTATATTATTATTATAACTCTTAATTTAGTCAACTATATCATTTAATAAGTACAACTCTTAAGTAGATATAATTTACCTACAGTTAACGTTTGAAAGACAATTTAAAATAAACAGTGCTTGAAATACAAATAATGTATTTCTTAGAAATGTCTCTACAGTATCGTACATTGAATGATTTAATTGTAAAGACTTTTAAACGTTAAATATATTTTTAAAAAAACTCAGTTTCCATTTCCTTTATTTTTTTACACGTATGGAAAGGTGACATTTGACAGTATACATTGATGAACGTTAAAAAAAAAAGTGTTAAATTCATCTGTAGAGAATATAAGATAAAAAAAAATTATAATAATAATCCTCCACTAGACTGATTCTATTTACTTCCGGTATCTCATTCAGAAATGTCCTTGTCTGTCAAAAATGTCGCTAAATGAGACTAAACAGGCGTTGCCTTTTTGATTCGAACTCCGAAGCTCTATGGAAAAAAAATGTATCATTGGAGCTTCTTCGTAGTGACTTCTGAAATGTATCTTAGTTAAGGTCCAATAACGCTGCAAGAAAGTTAAAAACTATACAATTATCAAGAAAAATCATTAAATTCTCTACTATTTTGTGCAATTGTCTCAGTGGAAATTAGATTGCATTTTTGTCTAATGCCATTTCCTTTTTTTACTAGTCTAATAGTTAATATTTTAGTCTCCAAAACGCTTAGTCAATACTCGTGGTTATTGTCTTTTTAAATAAACATCCAACACTCTTATTTTATTACAAAAAAAATTTATCATTTTGGATATATTTTAGTCTCCGAAATTTTTAGTCATATATTAATATGACTTAATATGTCATATTATGTCATATTTTAAAAGATAAATTTCGACTGACTCTTAATAAGATTAATGGACTTAAGTTTAAGTAAGACATAAACTTAAGTTTTTTCTGATTTTTTTCCCATATGTTGCTCGAGTAAAAATAAAGGAATTCTTTTCTGTCAAACTCTTGAAAAGGTTAAAACG